GTGTACACAATAGGTAATCAAGACGAGACATTCCCCCAGGCGTGACACATTGTTAAAGAACTGTCTTGTTCTTGTGGAAATTAATTCTTTATTGAGCATTCTTGTCAGACACCAGTCAGACACCAATTGACCAGACATGCATGTTTTGGATAGTTGAGTAAAGTGAGGGCAGTAGGAGCCCTCTTTCTTTTCCAAAATATTTAGAAAGTTTTTAAAGTTTCTGCATTTCTTTCTCTGAGCAGACAGTGGTATCCACCTTTTTTTCTTTTTTTCCAGTACATTTATTGATGTTTTTAATTTTCCCACAAAGTTCCTGACAGTTTACTAATGAATATAAATTAATATCAATATGGTTTTAATAACTATTTACATATAGCTTTGAGACAAGGGGCTCTCCATTTGTTTTTCCTTGCATCCTTCAGCCATGTTGTACAGTATTATTCTGCTTATGGTCACAGTTGAATGGAGAAAGTGACGGTAATTAAGGACCACATTTCTTGAATTTCATTATTTTCAAATTTTGATTTATCACCCAGTAAAAGGGAGCCTTGTTGCCTGTCTTGACTCGTGATGACAGTGCTACACCAAAAAATAAAAAGATTTAAAAAACTGCTATTAGCAGGTGAAATAACTCTTCAAATTATTATTGAAGCACATAGTGTATTGAAATCTCCTGTTCAGAATGACTCCAGAACTTAATTAAATGATTTCTTTACATTTACATCCATTTTTCACCTGCACCAAAGAATAAACAATAAGTGAATGTTCAATGTCTTTTTTTTTTATAAAGCATAATTGCTGTAATTCAAAATGTCCAGACACTTACCTGACCAACCACATTGCCATGGAGACTGTAATTATGTACACCATGATGTGAGGGGTGGAAATAGACATGGAAGAAAGGGAGTGACGCTGTAGTGCATGTCTGTGAATATCAGAGCTTGAGCCCTGCAGGAAATAATGACTCCACTACTGCACTGTCTCCTTCTGGAACCTTACTGGTCTTTCAGAGAGAGTTGCCAAGGAAACAGTGAATGAAATAAATCTACAGTTTCATGTCAGAAGGTTGAGGGAGACTCTGAAATTCAAGAAAGGATACCTGAACCTTAAATCAAATCTGAAATTATTTGTTTCCTGCATAGACATTCGCAATAGTAATGGTTGGCAATGAAGCCAGTAAATACTCCTAAGGAAATATATGAGAATAAGCAAAAACACTATTACATAATTGTAACTTTTTATGTTTGTATCATAACATTATTTATAATTTATATACTGTCGAAGGTCACTTATCAAGAATATTGTGCAAAGTTCATTTAGATTAAAACTGAGTTCAAAGTTCCAAATTGGTTTACATTTTACATTTTATTTTTAACTACAGTGGTGTAAAATACAAGTACAAGGGGCACCATAGTTTTTTTTAGCAAGAACTATGCATTTCTTTATTACCAACAATGGTACCAACAAAGGCGATGCACTAACTTAAACAATGATTAAGAATGTACAGAATGCAGAACCAAACTACACCCTGAACTCACAACTAACTAAAAGGGATTTTGAAAATTAAAGTGATTTTGAAAAGATAACAAACATACACTGACACCCTAAGAGAAAATCTGATTTGTTATTGCCACAAACCTGTTAGCAAGCACCATGTTTGCATTAAGTTAACGTGTCTATCATTTTTATTTTTTGTGTTGTTTTATGTCTGTTTTAATAGACATTATGCCACGCAACCCTTAAAGTTAAATTCTAACATCAATTAAACATCCTTTCCCTCTTCTGATCAATAGTAAATATGACAAAAACATAATGAATTTGCACCCGGCATATATTCAGTTAACAATGTATTCCAAAGTATCCATCAAGCATCATGATTTTGAACTTCTCTGTATTTAGACATTGATCATATTGCTTGATTTGATGAAGTATAAAAACTTCAAAAAGTTTTCTGATAAACTATTAGAAAAATAATGTGTATGGATAGTTTAACTGTAGGTTTACCAATGAAAAAAATGATAAAACAAGGCTAAATTTAGGGTTCTAAAATAATTCATGGTGCATAAATCTTTCAGGACTAGGTGCAATTGTAACCTTGAGTGTTGCATTGAAGTACCTGTCAACGATTTTCACCCGGTTAGGTTTAGGTTTTGGTAAACACCGCACAGGGATAAATAATGCCTTTTGCTTTTTCAATGCAATGGTAGTTTCACAGAATCACATTTGTAATTTGGATACTTGTGTTGATAGTTAGATTTAATTAATCTACATTAATCTACATTAGATTTTTACAAAGCATCTTAAAAGTACTTTTAAAATCTGCGTGCGCGTGCGCGAAAGCTGCAGGCTGCCTGTTACGTCGCTCCAACTTTTATGTTCGCTTTTTTTATAACTTTCTTACTTTTTCGTCTTTCTGTTTGCTCCGTGGCCTCACGGTAACTCAGTGAGGTTCTGTCCTCTCTAACGAGGTATTTTTCAGTAAGTGACAAGCTCCAAATCGTACTTTTTAAAAAAAAAATGATAATAATGCCGCCTACAACGGGACACGCTGCCTTTGTTTACTCCGGGGAACAGCTGATCGCACTGAAGCCGGCCGGCGTCGTGACCAGACCAGCTGATATACCACCAGAACTACGGAGGAAAACTCGCCGAGGTTGCAGAGGAGGAAAAAACTATCGGGGGATGAAAGGAGGGTCGAGACAGCAAGGGCTTATTTAGAGGAGAAGATTTAAGCATTGTCTCCCCTCTGTTATTATGGGCAACGTTCGGTCTCTTGGCAACAAGATGGACGAGCTAACGGCTCTGACGCGTGGCCACCCAGAGTTCCGAGAGTGCAGTTTGATGTGCTTCACGGAGACGTGGCTGCATAGGGACATAACGGACCAGACTGTCTCCGTGGATGGCTTCCACACCATCCGGGCTGACCGGGATCCTAAGAGTGGCAAGCGGAAAGGAGGGGGACTTGCCATTCTAGTGAACAGCAGATGGTGTTACCCGGGTCATATCACTGTTAAGGAACAGCTCTGTAGCCCGGATGTGGAACTGCTTGCCGTTGGACTCCGTCCATACCATCTGCCCAGAGAGATCCCTCACGTCATCATTGCTGTCCTGTACATCCCTCCCTCTACAAACCCAACATCTGCCTGCAGCATCATACACACCTCCATCTCCAAACTACAGACGCAACACCCCAATGCCCTCATCATCATGTCGGGAGACTTCAACCACGTCACCATAAACAGAGTGCTCCCGACCTTCAAGCAATATGTGAGCTGTCCAACCAGAGAGGAGAGGACCCTGGATCTGATGTATGCTAACATTAAGGACGCATACATCTCCTCTTCTCTCCCCCCTCTGGGCAGGTCAGATCACAACCTGGTCCACCTCACACCCTGCTATGTGCCTCTTGTGAAGAGGGTGCCAACGACCACAAGGACTGTGAGGAGGTGGTCGGAGGAGGCTTATGAGACACTGCAGGCCTGCTTTGAGTTGACAGACTGGACTGCACTTTGTGAGCCCCATGGGGAGGATATCGATGGGCCCACAGAGTGCGTCACGGACTACATCAACTTCTGTGTTGACTGCAATGTCCCAACTCGGACCGTCACCTGCTATGCAAACACCAAACCATGGATCACTAAGGACATCAAGGCCATCCTTAATGAAAAGAAGAGGGCTTTCAGAGATGGCAACCGTGACGAGGTGAGGAGAGTACAGGGGCTACTCAAACTGAAAATTAAGGAGGCCAAGAACAAGTACAGGAGAAAGCTGGAGAATAAACTCCAGCATAACAACATGAGGGAGGTGTGGAGTGGCATGAGAACCATCACCGGGTTCCAGAAGACCGGCAACATGGGGTTGGATGGCCGAGTGGAACGAGCCAACGAATTGAACCTATTTTTCAATAGGTTTGATACTGAGGCCCATCCCCCACAAGCCTCTGCTGATGGTTTCCCAACGACGACCACTCCACCTGATGCTGATGGTTTCCCAACGACGACCACTCCACCTTCCCCCACTCCTCCTCCTTTCAGACGCCCTGTCCTCTCCTTACCACCTCATTCCACACCCACCTACTCCACCCCTCCCCCCTGCTCTGCATCGTGTCCTCCACAACCTGAGGACTTATCCCCTCCCACAACTGTCACCTCTTCAGTGTCCCAACACACCTGACCTGGTTCGAAGACAACTGACCAGACTCCACACCGGCAAAGCTGCAGGCCCCGATGGTGTATTTCCTGGGGTGCTTAAAGCTTGTGCCGCCCAGCTGTGTGGAGTCCTTGGTCTGGTCTTCAGCCTGAGCTTGCGCCTCCAGAGAGTCCCCGTGCTGTGGAAGACGTCCTGCCTCGTTCCTGTACCTAAGACGCTGCGTCCTAACGGCCCTCAGGACTACAGACCGGTGGCACTGACGTCCCACATCATGAAGACCTTCGAGAGGCTAGTTCTGGAACAGCTAAGGCCTATGGTCAGGCCCTTCATGGATCCACTACAGTTCGCCTACCAGCCCCGACTAGGAGTTGAGGACAGCATCATCTACCTGCTGAACAGAGTCTACACTCATCTGGACAAGCAGGTGAGCACTGTGAGGATCATGTTCTTTGAATCTCCAGTGCTTTCAACACCATCCGTCCGGCTCTACTGGGTGAGAAGATGACGGCGATGCAGGTGGATGCCCCCATCGTGTCCTGGATTGTTGACTATCTGACGGGCAGACCACAGTATGTGCGCCTACAGAACTGTGTGTCTGACAGGGTGATCAGCAACACCGGGGCCCCTCAGGGGACTGTCCTCTCTCCATTCCTCTTCACCGTCTTCACCTCAGACTTCAGCCATTGCTCTGAGTCCTGCCATCTTCAGAAATTCTCTGATGACTCAGCAATAGTTGGCTGCATTGAAAGGGGAGATGAAGGTGAATATAGGACTGTGGTGGACAACTTTGTCACTTGGAGTAAACTTAACCATCTGCAGCTCAATGTGACAAAGACAAAGGAGCTGATAGTGGATCTGAGGAGGGCCAAAACACCTGTGACCCCTGTTTCCATCCAGGGGGTCCCTGTAGACACTGTAGAGGAGTATAAGTACCTGGGGGTGTACTTAAATAATAAACTGGACTGGACAAGAAACACCGAGGCAGTCTACAAAAAGGGCCAAAGCCGACTCTTCTTCCTGAGGAGGCTGAGGTCGTTTAACATCTGTCAGACGATGCTGAGGATGTTTTATGAGTCTGTTGTGGCTAGTGCGATCTTCTTTGCTGTCACATGCTGGGGCAGTGGGCTGAGGATCGCAGACAGCAACAGACTTAATAAACTGATCAGGAAGGCGGGTGATGTTGTAGGGGAGGAGCTGGACACTCTGTCGACCGTGGCAGAGAGGAGGATGCTGTCCAGGCTTAAGTCCATCATGGACAATGTGTCTCACCCCCTCTACGGCACACTGGCCCAGCAGAGGAGCTCCTTCAGCAGAAGACTCCTCTCACCCAGATGCACCACAGAGCGCCACCGGAAATCCTTCTTGCCGGTGGTCATCAATCTGTACAACGCTTCCCTCTGAGAGTCAATCTTAATCATTGACACTATCCACCTCTCATTTTGACCTACATATACACATATTGTTTCTTATGTATATATCTAGCTATATTTATGAGGAATTTTGTATATATATATGTATATATGTATAGACATGTACATATGTATATGCCTTTGTTTTATTTTGCTTATGGAGCCTGTAACAAAAATAATTTCCCTCTGGGATTATTAGAGTATTTCTGATTCTGATTCTGAAAGCAAATTTAATCTCAACAGCCCTAAATGCTTAAGACGAGAGTCACAATGCAACATCACCCTATCTTTTCATGTGGTGGGTCCAGAGTCAATCTGT